TCATTAATGTTCGAGTTCGTCTTGTACATGTTTGGGCTCATAATATTGATAAATGATTTGAATTGAATCGCGATTCTTGGCTCGTTTAATTAACGAGTCAACTGGAGCTCTGCTCATTAAGGACGCGTGCTTTAACTCGATTATTATACACTCATAGTTGCAGGGAGAGGTAATATGTAATTAATTTGTTGCTTACAAGTTGGAAATTAGAAAAAATTGCAAGCAAATATTAGCTTGTGGTTGAGTGTTTGGCATCAAAGGAAGAATGTGCGAAGAATATAAGTGAGTTTTGTTACGTGACACAATCTTTAGTCATTATTAATAATATGGTGGACTTTTCCTCATTTTAGAATTATTAACTAATACTTAACTTCATTTCTTTTTATTTTAGTCTATGTATTATTGTTACAAATCATATCTAATAAATGCATATTTTATTGGATTATTGCCGCATTAATGTTAGTATATTCCTTTTTTTTTTTTTTTTTAACAAAATGCCAAAGAACACATTCTTTTGTTGGAGAATAATTTTAGTGAAATTTGATTGCAGTCTTTAAATTGTTTGTTTATACATATTTTTTACTGAAGTTAAGCTATAATGATAGGTAAGACCTGTTAACTAACTGAATGTTTTTGAACTCGTTCATATTCAATAAAAGCTTGTTCATTCCTTAATCGAGCTGAATTAGAACATAGTATTATTAAGCGCATTTAATCATATAAAATGAGCACGCTGCTCAAGAAGTACGCGGTACAAAACGTCGTACTTTGAAAGTATCACTCCAAAAAATCCACTCTATTGCACGTACACGTAATTAAACACGCTCCTCCTCGATCAAGATAAGATAAGTATTATCATTATGAAAAATACTAAGGTCTCGTTACAAGACGATACTATCAGTGTCTTTCACAACTAGATAAGAAAAGTAGGTTATGTTGTATGGATAATCTACAATAACAAATCTTGACGGAACCATTCCATCAACGAGACTTTAACCGTTCCCTATCATTATATACATGACCTAATTATAACTATTATTTTGTAGTAGTGTTTTAAATACTATTAACTCAACTAAAATCTTTATTCACACCTTTCAAAATACTAAATTATGTATTTATTTTCAAGGGTTAATAATGCCATAAATAATGGATAGAGTTTTCGCGTAAATGCTTTCAATGAATCTGATAAAGTTACGATGAGCTTTTAGGATTTAGGTACTATGAATTTTGTTTATATATTTATTTTATTTTATTTTTTCTGGGTAAAAAGGGGGAAACCAACCGCATTAAATTCTCACCTTAACAGGCTCAGCAAAGCAATGGTGGTGTTGAATACGCATCCCCACCTACAATCCCTATTTTGGCAGACACACAAACCCTACCTCAAGTATTTATCTCCACAATTATTATTATTTTACTTTATTTATTTTTCTTTCTTATTCTATTCCTTTAAATCTATGTTTTTGTAAAACTAATAAGTTAGTTTATAATTTATAGGTGATTTTTTAATTTATATCTTATAACTTATGACTTATACCTGAAAAGCTAACTAGTTTATATGATAAAAATATTTGGTAAAATTAATTAGTTGAAATAAAAATTTCAAGGAGTTTATTTGAAAAGTTACTCAAATATCATATGAGATAAGTTCGAGTTTTTTTAAAAAAGTTTGTATAACCAAACGAAGATTATTTGAATA